AGTTCATTATGTGTGGGAGCAAGAAAGAGTTGTTGAAGGGAGAATTCCTTTGTCATCCTGCCTGAAGAAGGGTGTAATTCTTCTGCCTCTTTGATCTACTTGGGGGTAGCTTAAGCAGGGCTTGTAAAACAACCTCTGAAGAGGGCATGTAAGACTTAAAGAGGCAGGAAAAGAACGGTAAGGTTGGGGATTATTTTCAAGGTTCCAGTCTGATGACCATGCTGATTAGCTTGCTCTCATCTCTTCTGTGATTATCATCTGTTGAATTGTATGTCCAGATCCTTGGTCAAATTCCCAAAGATTTCCAATGAAGGCTGAATCAGACCTACCAGAATTGTGGTAGCAATTTATCATGACCCCTAGCATGAGAAGATAGGTAGATTAGAAACCAGAATTTTTCTTCAGATTTCTTCCCTTCACGTCTATTCACTAGGATTAGGAGCAAGTCTGCTGTAGCTCACCTATGCCAAAGGTACACGCGTGCAGCTTGTGATGCACAAGGTGTGGCATCCCGGCGTTTCGCACACTGTGTCTGTTCTGGTAATGACAGTCAATGTTCACATTATTGCAGAAACAGGACAAAATGAATGCCAATCGCAGCTGAAGCTGCACATTTTTGTACAAGAAACAGGAGTGTTAAAAGTTAAAAAATGGAAAACTTCTTGGAATAGTGTGTTGCACAGGAATATTTTGTTTTTGCTCAAACTATGCATTAACACGAACATATTAAAAGTGCATCAGGAAAATAAAACTTGAGAATGGTTTAGAAAGTGACCTCATTCCCCCCTTCCTCAGATATGTGCTTAAAGTTTAACCTTTGTCAGCTACAGTCGCAACCAATAAAGTCAACAGCAAAAGTTTAAAACAGTGAAAAGCTATGTTACAACAGAAATGACCTTCATTTGTTTTCATCCTAATTTTGATAAGCAGAGGAGAAAGGTGATTTCCATCTAAGTGCAGAAAGAAGGCAACTGTATGAGACATGGAAACAAATTCATTCTCAGGGCTGTTGATACAAACAAGGACATCACATCATAGAATTTACCTCTGGCTTTACAAAATGTAACTCATTCGTGCTTAGACTCCATCACTGATAATTTAATATTTTCCCTTTGCTAGTGATTATCATACCTAAAGGTTTTCTCTGGCCCCGTAACTATGTCTAATGGAAGGATTTCTGGTTTAGCCAACTAAAACATTAGGCAGCTTCTCTAAGTTAGTCTGGATGCCTACAGAGTAAATGAAGGAAAGACTTTGCCAAAGAGCCGTTCGTTCCTTCATAAAACAATTGTGGTGACAAGACAAGTGGACCCTCAGAGGGTGCATACGCTTCCTTTACTGTCCACGAGGAGTCAGCTGTACAACTGGCATAGGCAATTATCTACCATTTAAATGTCTGAAGTTAAATGAGACAAATCTCACACTAAATAACTCACATCAGTATATCTAATCCACTACATGCCTATGGATTATCCCCATTTTCCATATATACGAAATTAAGGCTTAAGGGAGCTAAACACCTGTGGCAAGAGTTGCTTAAGCACATTATTACCCCCTGAAATCAAGCAAAATTTGGGCAGTCCATCTGACAACAATTTGAGCCCAAGCATTTTGCTCCTAGCCAAAAAGGAAGCCTGGGTGGGACAGTGATATGATGCAGGGTTTCAAGGTAAGTGTTGTAGCATCTTTAGCTTGTGTCTAAAAAAAATAATCATTCCTAAGGGTTGTTTTAGTGTCACCCTCTATTGGGAAGGGTAATGCAGCAGTAAAGTAACAGTAGCAAACAGTTACAAAGCCCCCAGTGTCTCCTGATCTGAGATGCACTCTTCAAGCCCAGGTCCTTCTGAAGAAAACATCATCTGTAGCAGCTGCAGGTCCCCAAAACATTCAGGTCTCCGTGTGGCTGCGGACACTATGTCCTTAGAGACACAGTTAACTCAGAACATCCTTTGTGTGAGTCACCAGTGAGAATATTTTCCCCTCAAGTTCTTAATTTATTTCAGTTGATTTTAAGCTGAAGCATTTTGCCCCCAAGAAATATGATTACAGTACACAGTTAAATTCAGCTACATGAGAAGAATTTTGTTTAACAAACGCTAAATAAATAGGCACACAAGGGTACACCTTCGGGGTGGGTTAGCACTGTGCACTAACCAAACACACCCTCTCTGGCAAGGAAACACATTTTATGCTTGAAGGGTGATCAACTCCAAAATCAATTATTTCTTCTAAGAACATTCCTAAGTTTTGGGTCAAAATTGGACCCTAGATCTGTCTATGAACATAGCGGGCAACCTCTAACTCTACAGTGGATCAACCTCTCCCCACGCCTGCATGTCTGAATAACTCCAAGACTGGGAATTTTCCAAATGTAAGTTGATCCAAATTCCAGTCTGAACACATCTGTAGCATTTTCTCCATCAGTGACTTGTATTCCCTGGGTCTCTTGTTAACATGGCCAATCATAAAGGACAAAATTAACAGGGGCACCGAGCTACACTTCCCTTTAAGAATGGATTTCAGATTCTGATTCTTTAGCCTTAGCATTACCTTTGTGGTGAGTAAACATCCAATTCTCCTGGTGCTGAAATTTAATCTTTTATTCTCACCTAAAAGTTCTATTTGAGATTCCGGAGTTTGAAATTCATACCCTCAAACCCAGTCTACAACTGTGCTAAAAATAGCTGCATATCTGGCTTAATTATGCCTTCTGCATCTACTCTCGTGTCTTCTGAAATCCGCTATCCACATCACATCCTAATGCCGGATGTACACACACACACATTTGCACAGACAGGCCCCGCTTCATCTTCTAAAAGGCAGAAAGACCTCCTCAAAACCCAGCCACTCCTCACCAGTTTTCCCAACATATGTCCACAATGAAGTTACCTGCTTCTCTATGCCTCCACTTGTTCAACTAAGCAGAGGACAAGATTAACAGTTGACTGATTCAAAGCTTACTGAGCAAGCCAAAATGATTATTTTTTGCTGGAATGCTCCTTAGGCAAGACTCTGTTAGTTTCCTCATATACTTACTGGAACTTTTCCCCACCAGCTGAGGGAAAATATGCAAATTATATAACTTTTTCCTAAACAAGTGTCTTGAGACTTCGTCAGAATTTACTTCTCGCCTGCAGGTATAAACGAAACCTGCATTACCCATAATGTTTATTATTTCTTACTCTCTAGAACACTACCAGCAGAGGGAATGTTCAACTACCTCCGGAAACGCTTTACCAGCCACATCAGAGAACGTAGCCGGCGAAGGGCAAGGCTTGTCTCTAAAGATGGAAGGTGTAACATAGAGTTTGGCAATGTAGAACAGTCAAGGTTTGTCTTTTTGATTGATATATGGACGACTATCCTGGATCTCAGATGGAGATACAAAATGACTATCTTCATTTCAGCATTCTTAGGCAGCTGGTTTCTATTTGGTCTCCTCTGGTATGTCGTGGCATACATACACAAAGATCTTCCAGAATTCAATCCTTCCATAAATCACACCCCCTGTGTTGAGAATATCAACGGCCTGACTTCAGCTTTCCTGTTCTCCTTGGAGACCCAGGTAACCATCGGTTATGGCTTCAGATGTGTCACAGAACAATGTGCCACTGCTATTTTCCTGCTCATCTTCCAGTCTATCTTGGGGGTAATCATCAATTCTTTTATGTGTGGTGCCATCTTGGCCAAGATATCGAGGTCCAAAAACCGGGCTAAGACCATCACCTTCAGCAAGAATGCTGTCATCAGCAAACGTGGTGGGAAGCTCTGCCTCCTCATTCGGGTGGCAAACCTCAGGAAGAGTCTGCTGATCGGGAGTCACATCTATGGAAAGCTTCTGAAGACCACCATCACCCCAGAAGGAGAAACAATCATTCTGGACCAGGTCAACATAGAATTTGTAGTTGATGCTGGCAATGAGAATCTCTTCTTCATTTCCCCATTAACTATTTATCATATCATAGATAAGAACAGCCCATTCTTCCACATGGCAGCAGAAACCATTCTGCAGCAAGATTTTGAATTGGTGGTGTTTTTAGATGGCACTGTTGAAGCCACTAGCGCTACCTGTCAGGTGAGGACATCCTACATCCCAGAAGAGGTGCTCTGGGGTTATCGTTTTGCTCCCATTGTGTCCAAGACCAAAGAAGGGAAATACAGAGTAGACTTCCAGAACTTCAGCAAGACAGTGGCTGTGGAGACTCCCCACTGTGCCTTCTGTCTCTACAATGAGAAAGAAGCTAAAGCCAAAGAGAAGAAAGGTTATGACAATCCTGGTTTTGTCTTGTCAGAAGTTAGTGAAACCAGTGACACAAAAATGTAGTTCCAGATATTCATGGGACTGTATCTTTTTTCATAATTAATTCAGTCTTGAGAGGATTAATAACTTAGTAAAACAAAAAAGAAACACAGGTTTGTTTTTACTCTAAAACAGCATTTATCTTCTCAAAAGCCTCAAATCAAAGAGGAACAGAGTACCAGTGATCTCCAGAACACTATTTAACTACACTATATATATATTTCATAGAATTTATATTTTTATACCTATGGGACATTTTATGAAGCTGCTATGTTGGGAATGTCCAACTCACTTAAGTTCCCAGAGGCATGTAAGTCTCTTAAAAAGCCTGAAAAGATGGAGAGAAACTTTAGGACATGTTAAAGATACACAGCTGTTGGAATAAGAACTTGAAAAGGGGAGACAGAAGGCAAAGCTAAAGAAACCTAAGGGACTTAGGAGCCAAAATCTCAAAAAATGTTTGTTTCCAGTTGCCAAAGTCCTCTGTGAAACCAGGCTCTGGCTCCGGAACACTTGAGCACTTTTGAACATTTTGAAACAATTCCTTCTTTCTTTGAGGCTGGTACATCTACAGAAATGGAGCATGAAGGGATGGTACATGCTTAGGAAGCCGGAAAAGACAAAGCTTGCGCCATCCTGCTGCATCTAGAACTCTGTAAAATACAACTTCTCTCCTGTGAAAGCCTTTGATTCCTTTCAGGGAAAAATAGCCAAATGGAAATGAAAAGTGAAAAAACAAGGAGAAGCAGAGACCCACTATGGGAGAAGAGGAATTTTGCAGCTTATTCCTAACTGTCTCACCCTTCAGATACTCTTCCCTCCACTTCCCCAGGAGCTGGCTAACTGTGAAATTAGGAAACATCTGAAGACAACTGTCCAGAAAGAAGGTGAGCCACGGTGGGGAGATGAAGGACACATTGATTGCTTCACACCTGGCAGAACAGCAATCCACTGGGAGAAGAGAGGAAATTCCCAGCTCTAGACGTATCCTTCAAAAAAATCCACAATGCAAACGCAGATTATCTTTTCCTCTGAAGCATGAAGGTCTTGTTAAAACAAAAACACAGCATAGGAGCCTCCCAGCAACAGTGGGCTTCAGGTTTAGTTCCAAACTGTTCATCTCACCACAGCAAAATGTGCATCCCTAACAGGAAACAAGCTCTGCTCAGGGGGAGCTAAGCAGTGGTGAACATTTTCTGGGTATGGTTTTTGACATCTAAGTCTCAAATGCCACAAGAAGCATCAATAACTTTTTGGTGAATTTCCACTTCCTCACAGCCACTTTTTTTTTCCCCAACTAGTTCTTTTGCTGAGAGTTCAAGTGGCAGACCAAAGAGAGTTTTTTTAGGAACTCTTCCAAGTGATGTAATTCAGCTCATCTATTTTCAACACTGTGGTAAAATGGAAGCATCTTTTTAAAAGCTGCTAGACTGAGTGGTTTTAAAAGAAGGGGAGAATTAAGCAGGTCAAATGATGACAAGACGAAGTTATTTTGCAAATGAACATAATGTGAGTACGGAAATCGAACTCTGGGAACCAAGAGTGTTCAGGTCTCAGTCCCAGTGTACATCAACTCCTCTGTTGGTTCAGAACAAATCACTTCAGTATGTATCTCAGATTTGCCATCTGTAACACGGGACGTAAAGTACTTACGCTGTACAAAGAACAATGTTGTGAACAATTATGTCACTAAAGCACTTTAAAAGCCAATTCTCAACTGTCTCAATCTTTCCTCTCTTCAATGCACCACTGTTACACCCTCCTTCACTTCTAGACGGAAAGGTCAGCACAGAAAGTTCTGTTCTCATCACACATCAGAATTACTAGCACTATGCCTAGAACTATGGAATGCTAGAACCGCCAGCCGAAACCTTCAAGGTAATTCACAGGTATTGCCCAATATTTTAAGTGTACTGTTTTTGCAACCTTCCAAAATAACATTGTCAACTGTAAAAATATTTTTACAGTCCCAATCACCACAGCATCGGAGCCCCTCCAACCATTAGTGCATCTCAGATTGTCTGCTTGGAAGGACAGTTGTTTTATCCTCCACTCTGAATGGCACACCAAAGCACAAACAGCGAGTGATTAGTGGCCGTCCACAGAACTCTAGGAGGGAGCAGGGAAGTGAAATGAAGTCTCAAGAGTCCCAGCTTGTCTGAACCAAAAGGCTACTGTGCTGCTCAGTCCCTCCATAGTTGCTGCTACATTTCCTTTATAGGCTTCCTGTACAGTTGCCCTGTGTGTAACTTCCCTAGAAAGCAGTACTGTCAGTATTCAAGGCTTACAAGTTATACCTCTTACCCCTGGGAGAAGAGATGCACCGAGATGCCCTTAATAGAAGTAGAAAGACAGTCTTCACTGTACAAAAAAAGCAAGTCGATAGGAAATCCATTTAAAAGGTCAAACCCAGCTGTGCAATGAGGAGACAGGCAAGATTCCTATTTTCTTTAAGTGAAGCTGGTTTGGGATGTTAGTGCTAGAGGGGAAAAAAAAAATCAAATACTGCTCCAGTGCCTGTCCAAGAGGTGGTGTACATCCTCCGAAGTTTAAGAGGTCCCTAAACAATGCACTTTCAGGCACTGCCCTTGGAAAGCCATCTCAAAATCCTAAACCTCTAAGTTCTTCATGACACAGCTTTTTAGCCTTTTGCCCTACGTCTCTGCAGCACAAGTGTGGAGGCGGCGTTATTCCATGTCTAGAAGTGTCAAGCACTACCACAACTCAAATAGAAGATACTTGATCTCACTGCAAGGATGATTACCTGTTGTTCACTCTATTCTGACAGTTACACCTGCCTCAAAAGCTAACTATGCCGCCTACAGTAAGGGAAGGGTGATTGCATCCTTCTGCATGTTTTGGTATTACAGAGGGGGGACTGGCTACTGCACAAACGGAGAATATATGAGGGGGACATATCCAAAGTTGACAGGGCCATGGCTGAGCTATCAAGCTTACTTAGAGGGGGATCATACTGGGACCTAAATGGGAATCTCGGAATGAAACCCTCCTCCCATGAGCCTCCTGCTGATTGTCACTTCAGGAAACGCCTGCCAGTCCCCGCCTGCCAGCGGTGCACCAAGCAGGAGATAGAGCACTGTAGTCAGAGCCCAGCAGCAGGAGAACAATGAGTGGAATTTCCTCTTTCGGTCCAGAGAGGGCTGTTTGTCACCAGAGAGATAAAGGCCCAGGGCAGGGAAAAAGGGTTATCGGGAGACATGCCGCACACAGTGCCACTCAGGACAGACTCCATAGGAAATCTATTTTGGGGGCTGTCACCCCTACTGCCATTAAAAGAAAGTTCAGTTAAGAGGATGAAAATAAATTTAATCTTGCCGAGCAGAAGTGGCTGGAGGGAACCACAGACCCGATACTGGAAAACAAAGACTGGTTTCTTCACCCGTGACACTGTTTCATTTTTACATCTCCACGGCACTCTTCTCAAGCTTTCTGGTTTGCTTTTCCCTCCCCGTCCATCCAGTCTGCAGGCTGCCCATACTGTCGCAGCAACAATTAGTCCTCTCCACAAAGTGGAACATGCTATGGAGGCCAACAGCCTAGTCAATACAAAGCAAAGGACTGAAGAGAAAGTCCTGTCTCTTCAGGAGAAGAAATCAGACCATGTACTTATTGCTGGATTAAGGCCTAAAGGATTTAGCTGTGAAAGTGTTAGCCAAGCAGCTAGGCTTGGGAATAATGTGTCTGCACTAAACTTAATTTATCTTCTCATTTCACAAACAACATGTTTCTTCTACTGTATTTATTTTAAACATTCATTCAAGCTGTGCATAATACTTCAATCATTTTGAAACGGATTTACCCTCCTGCTGGCAAACGAATAAGGCATCCTGCTGACTGCTGGAGAAAGGGCCATGAATTAAAATAACTGCTTTTAGTAAACTGACATGTGCTAGTTAGCTGTCTCCACACACTCTTTGGTAGTAACTAGTGAAAAGAGACCCCTAAATAATAATAAAAAAACCCAAACCCGGCAAACTGTTTAGATACTCATACTGACTTGCATTGTTGGAATGTGGCAGACCACTGCTAACTAGCTCACAGCAACCGCCTGGATAACTTCTGCATGTACGTGCTTCCTTGTAAACTCAACTACTCACCCATAAACAAGTCAGCAGTGTGCAAAGCCCCGACACAAGTGAGAGCAGCTGAGGTGTCATATCCTCTTTCCTCTCCCCAGGCAGCAAACTGATGTGGTTAGACTCACGCGAGTTCAGCTGGGAAGAGCCTTTATTTCCCCTTCCCTTTTATTTTGCCCCCTTCAATTCACCCTCGCCTTGAACTGTCATGGTGCTGGCCCCATTCCTGTTCCCCACACAAGCAGGGAGAAAACCACAGCACAACGCAAGGAATGTGAGCAGAGCCCCTGCCGCGGCAGGGATGGGGAAAGCTGAGCAAGTTCCTGAACCCTCTGGTGAATCCGTGCCTACAGCTTCTTGCTGCAGCCTGGGGAACCCCTATGACAACACTGCCACTGGCCCTAAATCACATATAACCCTGTGACGATGTCACTAGAACATGAGTGAGGAAGGCTAAAGCCCTCTCTCCACGGCTGCTAGAATACACAATATGTTTCCTGAGGCCAAGTTGACATTCCTGTGGTGGAAGCATCTGCCTGGGGAAGCTTACAACTTGAACAAACTCACTGCTGCACAAGACAGACATAAATTCTCCCTGCTCCAGGGAGCTGGACAAGCAAGGGGAGGCTAGAAATGAGACAATCTCACTTTGCATCTCCATTTGCATGCTGCTAGCCAAATTTAAGCGTGGAAAGTATTGAAGCCCTTGCTCTCCTGGGTGACTGCATCCCAAGCAAGCTCTGCAGAGACAAAGTTACCGCATTATTCTGTTACGACATCCCACCACAGGCAGGCTGGGATGCTGGAGACCACGCAGGGGTGCTGACAAAGGGATCCGAGCGATCCCCTAAGTGTCTTCTGTCTCGCTGCCGCTGGATGGCACCCCTTACCTCCAGATCAACTGCGCAGCCAGCTCCGATCTCCGCA